CAACAACGGTGACGTAGTTTCACCCCCCCCCCCTTCCCGCTATCGGCCACGCGCACGCCCCGGAGAGGAAAGGGTTGGGATGGTCATAACAAGCACGTAGTGCGAGTCCGTGGCGAGACAAGTCTTCGGTATTTACTCCACCACACACACACCCGCCCTGCACCAGCGCACTCGGCATACGACCAGTCCCCATACGTAAAGTATGATTAAGAGCGCCAAGGTGATCAGAGCCCGGGTCAGTCCGCTTCGCACTCCGGGGCGGGGCGGGGCGGGGCCACCACCGGGCAGCAGGGGGCTCGGGTGCTGCGGCGGCGCCATACCGTGGACCGCGCCGGCACAAGCGATTCGGTATGATATGCAGTGTGGTCCGGACGGGGTGGAATGGAATCCGCGCCCCACGCGACTCGGCGGCGCTGCCACGGCATTTTCCGACCATCAAACGAGTGTCCTAACATCTCGGCTGCTCTGGATTTTGAGAAATGCACAAATAACGGGGCCTCGATAACGGGAAGCATTAATTTTATTTTTTCAGAGACAAATACCCTGTTGAGATGGATTAGGCCATCACAGCAGCTCACGCGACGCAGACCGGTCCGCGACGCTTTTCGCTTTTCCTGCCCCTCCCCCCCTCTCCTTTCCCCGCCATATCCCCGCGACCGCCGCGCTCCACCCGTGTCGACATCCTCAGCTGATAATAATTTGAGCGTCACAGAGATTTGGGAAACAATAAATGTTGTTCCAAGTTCGAGGTCTCGCGGCATCGTGATGCAACGACTCAGGTTGTGCGGAGCTGCTAGAGCCGATAGCCAGCTAGCGGGGGCGATAGGGGGCGTTGTGCAGCGGGCCGTACGGCCACACGTGTGGGGATTTCCTCGGATATTCCTTGAGTTAACCACAGACGAAACGACGACATCGATCTAGAATTCCCGGATGTACGGGAAAATTTTAAAAATTAAGTCAGGCACTTCCATGTGATCTTCCCACGGGCTGCACTGGTTTGTGTAACGCCCCCCCCCCCCTGACTCCCACCCCATTATTTTCCCATTTTTTTTAAAGACTAAACGAATAGATTCGCGGAGGATTTGGGGTGGGGGGTTGGGGGTAAAAACTGCTAATTCAGTCCATTGTTCAAGACATTGCCAATTATTGGCACTTGGACAGAAGATGGGCGGCGGTGCACAACCAGCCTAGGAAGGGAATGACCTGCACTTATGCCGAGGGGCTGTCGGGACGCGAACACTGTTTGCTTAACGCATAGTACGCATTGCAAACTGGGAGGCAATTCCTCACGAACCTAAACGATAAAAAGACATCACGTGCTTCAAAAACAAGTGGTGAGCGATTTGTCCATCGCGTTCATTTAATTTGGTGTTGGACTATGTTTTTATGTAATGGGACAGAAGGTCGTTACGTAAGTTGCACCCTTCCTGCTATATGAGCACCACCTTGCAAATATCAACTATCTCTTAGGGGGCTTATCGCCTCATCGTGAGTTGATAAATTAGGGGAAAAGGGGTGGGACTCCCAGAAGCACGGCCGTGACTTTGAACTCAGGCCGGGAGGCGCCTCGCAGTCCGATCCGGTCTCGTGACCGGTTTTCTAAAACAGTAGCTTCCCAGGCACACAAGTGAACACACGATTTAGACGATCACGTTTAACGCAGAGCTAGGTACTCACTGGTTGCCATCCATGCTGTCGTTGGACGAAGGGTTAAACTCCTTGTGTGGTGATCCAATGTACACCTTGGGGGGATTGGCGTTCTTCATCTTCTTGAGGTCGGCGCCGTTCACCTCCTGGGTGGCGCCGTTGGTGGCGCCGTTGAGGGCGCCGTTGGTGTTGCCATTGGTGGCGCCGTTGGTGGTGCCGTTGGAAACGGCGATCTTAACGGGAGCGCTCATTGTTCTGAAGTCTTGTTTCTTGAGCACGACTGGCGGACTGCGAGTGGTCACTCTGAAACACGATGTGAAGCGACGCCGACAGCGCGCCTCCAACTTATAGCCTCCCCCCACCAGGGCCGCCCGCCTCGCCCCGCCTTGCCCCGCCCCGCCCGCCCCTCCTCGCCCAGAGAGCCCAAGCCCAGGCCGGTCGGCCGGCCCGCGGCCCGTGGCGCGACGCGTGCCTGGTCCTGAGGGAACGACCAATCCCTGCCGTGCGATTCCGGAGATCGTTCAAGAGGGGCTCTCCTATACCTCCCGTATAGCTCCGTCCTTTTGCACTCATAGGGCAGGTATAGGAGAGCCCCTCTTGAACGATCTCCGGAATCGCACGGCTGTGGCAACTCGAGCAGAGCCCCGAACCCTAGGTGGCGACTTGAAGTGCTACGAGAAGACGCAGGTGACAGAAACCCGGAGAAACCCTCCTGCAGCCCGCGAGTGCAGCTCCATCGCGGGACGAGGATGGGGGTGGGCGCGTGGGGCGTGTCATAACAATAAAAGAGATAGCTCGTGACGCACTCGATGTTTGTCATTGTTCTACGCAGAAAATAAAAACAAAAAAATTAAAACGAGGAAGGCTGACACGCATCATAACTGGACAATAATATTATTAAGGAGGGAGGGGAGGGGGAGGGTCAGTGGAACGGTGATAGCTTGTTGTTGTGATGCCACTCCCTTGCCCGGCGCGCCCCTGCCACCCCTCGCCCCGGTTGCACTGCACAAGATGATAATGTTTTTTTATACGGTAAGGATTATTTCTGCCAAGCCAAAACGTTTGGCGGCACAATCAGGCGCTATGTTTACGCCACTCTTTCCCGAGGGAAAAAGATTGGAGTCCGGTTTATTAATGTCACTATCACGTTCATGAATGTGCATTCAAGTTTGCATTCTCGTGAATGTTATATTTTGAAGATCCTATAAAATTTTACGTCCGTTTTTCTATGGTTCATTTTGGCAAATTGCGGGAGCTCGGCGCCTGCGAGACTCTTGGTAGGCCAGCCCGCAGTACACGCATGTACTGCAGTCAGGATTTGCATACCTACCTGGCGCTATGAGCATTGATGCTCACTCGACTCGGCAGTTCCGAAACGTCGATTATAAAAAACGTATTTTCTGGATGATCACTGACTGGACTGTCAGATCGGGTGGGATGCTTCTGATATCGGATATTCAATTCCTCCCCCCACCCTTTCTACCTTTCTCAGACTCCATTATCTTATTCGGCAGAAATAGCTGCGTGGGCCTCTAGAGCTGCCCGAATAAATATATTTCGCCACTTTGGGAAGGTCAATCTAGTGAAGAAAGGATGGCCTCTAAATCATCATGGGTTATTTACACATGTCGCTTCATTATCACTCGATGCGCTTGGGCATTGGGCACGAGTATGGACGAGAGTGTTACCGCCACGACTGCCGCCCTTGGCTGTATTTGAGTCAGAAATCAATTCAGTGACAACAATTTGTAGTGTGCTGTGCATATCTCCCGCGAGTTATCTAAATCGTCCGCTTTCCTTGTGCAACCCTTTCGCGTTGCGTTCGGAGTTGACCTGCCTCAAGATTATCTTGAACGCCCATCGAACGCTCGTCATACCCCCCACACACACACGAAAGCGCTTTCTGCCAACCAGAGCGAGCCCGCCAGCACCTCCTCTCCCGCGACTGACCTGTGCCCGAGTGAGAAGGTTCCGTGCCGTGCGCCGTCCAGGCGACTGATTCTGAAGAACCCTCTCCTAAACCTTCCCCCTTCCGTATAGCTCTGCAGTGGCGGACTGGCCAGGGGGGGAAGGGGGGAAATCCCCCCCGGGCCCCCGAAGGGGGCCGCGGGCCCCCCGCACCCAACCTCGTGCACCTCGGGCCCGAAGGGCCCGATTCGGCCAGGGGCCCGGGTTTCGGCCCCCTGCCTTGGCTTGGTCCCAGACATCTCGGGCCCGAAGGGCTCGAGCGAAGGGACCGAGCCAAGGGCCCAAGTCCTAGGCGCAACGTGGGACCAGGGGCCCCGGCCTGGGCCCAAGGATCAAGCGCCATGTAATAGTTTAGTAATCAAAAAATGGTTAAGGCATATCCAGATATTATTTTTACGCTCGCTTCGCTCGCGTTGTTTAATGTACTACAAAGGCACTGTACCTAAATCGCGTCCGAAGGAAACCTGCCCACTTACTTTTACAATGTTTTTGGTACCCGTAAGCGCCTTTTAGCGCCTTCATACCATTCAAAAATTTTCGCGCTCGCTCCGCTCGCGAAATTTCCCTGCAGGCGGCTGATCCATTTAATACGGCGATACGCTGGAAGATCAATATTTAAATAAAACAGGTCAGACATGTAAAGCTTGCTGTGCTTTATTACGTATAGATTGCCCCTGAAAGGTAGGCAAAACCGGCCCCCCCTTCCAGATTTCCCCCCCGGGCCCCTGACCACCCAGTCCGCCCCTGTAGCTCTGTCCTTGTCGCACTCATAGGGCAGCGCCGCGCCCCTTGAGGTCTCTTCGGAATCAGTCTGCACCTCCTTCGCCTGCGCCTGACCTGTGCGCGAGTGCGGAGGTGCTGTGCGCCGCCCTGGGCGAGCCGGTCAGCACCTCCACGCCCGCGCCCGACCTGTGCCCGAGTGCGGAGGTGCCGTCCGCCGCCCAGGGCGAGCCCGCTATAGCCCATCTGCCTTGGCAACATCACCGGGCCGCGCCATCTGTTTTGCTCGCGCAGATATGGGGGCGCGGGCGGGCGGCGTTCCCGGGGCGCTGCAAGCCCCGCGCGACACTATCGGGGGAGAGCCTGCTCGGCTCGTACGGCCCGACCACGTGATAGCAACGGGTTGTATTGATAAACGTATCTCCCCGGTCCAGCGGGGCGGGGCAGTCGGACACCGCATCCAGCTCGATTACCCAATTGGTCGGTTGAATCAGCCTCCTAATCTCTCCCAGAAGATACTCGAGGTGCTGTTGGTTATGCTCTCCATCCATAATGCGTCCCATTTCTCCACGGTTTTTATTTACTTTTTTTTTTCGTCACTGTCGGTCGAGCCGAGTGCATTTCCTCGTCGGAATTTTCCAGTTTGTGTCGTTTGTGTATCGTCGAGGACGAGGAAAAGAGTTCATCGGGGAGGGCGGCGGATCTTAACCCTCCACACAATTCGTCTTCAAGATAACGCGCGCCTTGCTGCCCATCCGAGATTTTATCCTCGCCGGTCCCGATGAGAGGGGAAGTGGGGCGGGATAGTTCGAGGAAGCAAAACAGATAGACAGCAGACAGCTGTCCAGACAGCTCTAACTTTCCAAAAAGAACACCCGTTTGTTCGTCCAGTCTCCCAGTGGAAGGTTTCCCCGGCGCGTGCTGCTCGGCCGGTGCGGCGGGCGGCGGGGCGCCTGCGGGGTAGGCAGCCCTTCGCCTCTGGCGCGCGCCCGCTGGGCGGGTGGCCTATGCTAGGCGCCTGCGAGCGCTCGCACTCGCACGCGACTCGCCACGTGGAGCGCCCCACGCGGCCCGCACAGCTCCTCCCCGCCCCGCGCCCCGGCAACCGACAACAACCACTTGACCTGCTGAGAGATCACGGTTGACCCCGGTTCATTTCGGCTCCTTGGTGGTGGAGACTCACGTGTAAAGAACAGTCCACACATGATTGTCCTAGACAAAACCCACGACGCGGAGACGGCCATGAAGTTGGCGTTACAGCAACGGCAAAGGGTTCCGGCCGGCGACAACAGCACGGAAGGATTGAGTGCTAGAAACATCGTCCGACACAGACCAGGATTACAAACTTAGGACTAGGCTCAAATAGGTCTCCCTCATTTGATTAGGAACTACGTCTTTTGACAGTGTGAACATGTCATATTGCCAGGTTATTTCCCAATTCCCAATCAATTTGTCCGTTATTTTAAAACATCTGATCGGTCAAAAATTTAAAATTTGGTTTGAGAAAAATGAGTACCATCCGAAGGCGGGGTTAGAGACATGTGCCTTGTGTCTTATGGTCTTATCGGCGACAGCTAACTCTTCGCCTCACGCATAACAGCTGGGTAGATTCCACAAGTGTGTACGTGTGTGGGGCGGTGGGAGACGAACTCGGTTCTCTTGGGGTGGGTCACGGTCCGCGGTGGGGCCAGGTGGGCCTGCCAAGTGTAATGCCGCCGCAAGCCCGGCCCACCCCTCCGGCCCTCCGGCTCACCGCACCCCGCCACGCCCCACCACGCCCCACCGCACCCCGGCCCAACGGCTCTAAAAACCGGATTACACTATCCGGCCTCGATGGTTAGCTCCGGAACGTTTTGGTGGAATGCTCCGGTCCGGGACCGCGCGAGTATGGAGATACCAAAAACTCGAGCTCATCCTTTGTACCTCGTCTCTTTGCCCCGCCCCGCCCCGCCCCGCCCCGCCCAGCCCCCGCCTTGACGGGCCTGACCGCGGGGCTGACCCCGTTCTATCAGTCCGGCCAGGAGATGAGTCCGATGTAACCCTCCCTCACCTCACGCCAGAACCCCCGGCCCGGCACTGTACAGGGACAGTACAGGGATTAGGAGGGGATGCAGCTCGCTCCACTCCACTCTCGGCCAGAAGGCCCGGATATAAGATTAAGCTCGATGAAGTAATAAAAAAGAAAAAAAAATACTGACGACCACACCATGACAGCAAAAACATATTGACAAACACTTGACGAATCTACTGTATACCGCTCGCGTCCCATGTGATGTGCCCCATATGCCGTTGGTTCGGTTCAGGGTAGCACCCGGCAGAGGATTAGAGCGTTAAGTCGCACGGATTGGCCCGTTTCCATGCTACGGATGAACTCGTGTAAGTGCAGCAAAAAGTAGTGATGAAAATGGCCACAGTGACGGCGAGTGCAATACTGGGGATCCGTCGGCCTCGCTCGCCACAGCGCACCACGACCGTGCGTCAGCCCGTTACATAAAGGCCGAAATAGTGATCTGCGCTGCTGTCTTGGACCACGTGGCATGTGGTCGGCATAGCTGTGCTTTATTAGCTAAGCACCGGCGGCGTGTTTGCCGGAGGGGGCGGGGGTCAGTGGTCTCTGCCAGGGGTTACGGAAGCACCGGGGCGCACACCCTGCCGATGGTTCGATCGGTGCCGATTTGGCGCATTATAACCCTTCTTGGGTTGGGAGCACAGTGGCGAATGTGTATAGCTTTCTAGACACAAATGAAAAACGATATCATGCCATATAGCCATATCGACACAAACAAGGCTGAGGGCGCTGCCGTGCCCCGCCGCGCCTCGCCGCCTCCTCCCGCTGGGCCACGCAGTGTGGCACACACAGCAACCCGAGCGCGGTCTTGCATCAGGGGGCTGCCGCCCGCACCAGCAGGCCGTCAGAGGCCTCGCCGTCGGGTCGGGGCTCGCCGTCAGGCCACCACCGCCACCCATGATACTGTCCGGGCTGCGGGCCAGGGCGCCGGCTACGCTGACCCCGTCGTCCGTCGGAGCGAGCCCGGTCTTGGATCACTGGGACGCCTAGAAAGTGACAGCTCGCGCGGCATTCCGCCAGTGTCTGGGCAACACTCTGTTGCGGGCAACCCTGCACCCCTGCCCCGTGGGGGATACATCATGACGTCACGACCGTATCAGGCCGGGCGGGTACTTAACACCTGCCCCTCTAGGAAACCCAGAGTACCTTGCTGCTGCCCTTTGATCGCCAGGAGAGGCCGCTTTTGCTGAAGCTAATCTGCAGAGCTGGGAAGTGTGGACGTGTGCCGGCGCCCGGCAATAACAGAATGTGACGGCTCAATTAGGACGAGCAGTGGCGATCGAGGCGAGAAAAACAGTGTCGGCCGCCACTGACGTGAGGGGCTTCACCTGCTCCCCGGCATGTTCAAGAACCAGGCCGCCCTGTTGTTTCGCTGAAAGAGATTTAGTTTTGACTTTTTCGACTTCTTTCTGGGTGGAACATCGGGTAAAAATAAACAAATTGCACGAGATGGCCGCGCGAGGCGGAAGGTCAGGGATAAGGGGCAGAGAGAGATGGTGCAATGTCGAGCTCGATATGTCATCGGCGAAAGGAGAAATTCAATCAGCCGACAGGGCGAATATATCGGGCAGTAGACCTTCCCCGATATAGCCAGCTTCACCCCGGATATGTTATCCGGTTGACTCGCCTGAGTCCTGATCACCGGATTTATCGTTATTTCCCTAAATAAAAATGTCAAAATATGATAAGAATTTTTTTGGGGGAAATGATGGTGTACGACTTGCCCCCTTGTCCCCACCACTCCCCCCTTTTTCGTAGCCGTGTTTCGCAACGGTAGGTCATGCTCTAGCACGGGACTTGTTTTTCTTGAGGGTCGTCGGCCTGGCCTCTGCAGTCCTTATCATCCTCGAACGTGCCGCCTGATCTCGAGAGTGAGTGAATGCTTCCAGTAAAAACACGAAAACCACTGCTTCACCCCAAAAAACAGGCTAAAGTCTCCAACAGGTCATATTGACGACAAAAGTGGCACGTGCACCATGGTAAGCATAATTATTGTCCTAATTGTTGACCTGATTTAGTGGTATAAACACGCCGTCAATATGATGTCATCGAGACGTTTCGCTGTTTATTGAGTGGACCCATTTCCAGATGCCTGGTGCATCACGGCCCAAAACAGGACGAGGACACGTCGTTCGCCGGGCCAAGAAGATGCACGCACACCCGAAGCAAAAATATATTTCTCATGAAGGCGTATTATAACTGCTTACCCATCCCATCCTCCACAATAATGATTTATGGTCACTGTACATACATTTTCAACTGAGATCAATTTAAAATTCTCAGAAGCAGTTTGTTCTGAATTCGTAAGCCTATTTCAGCGTCAGCCCTGCACGAAAGCTACATGCGAAGTGTTTTACATCCTCCCTGGTTCGCCTCCAATTTCGTTACCTGACCCCTCGAGCCGGCCTGCCCCCATCAGCGCTGGCTGCCTGCAGGATAGGCAACTTATCGGGCATGCAGCTCCTGCGGTGGGCGCCTGGGAGGTAGTTCTCCCTTTCGACTTCTGTGGTATGCAACTACCCTGCCAACACGAAAAAATGCCTTGTCGCAGAGTGTTAGGCGCAAGATACGCGCTATTGAAGGAGCAACCTCCCGATTTCCTAGACCAACCGTTTTTAAGTAAGTTAATAAACCGAGAGGTATCTATTGGTCGTTTTTGAAATGACAATTCTAAAGTTGAAAAGACTACAGTTGTTTTGTATGTTGGCAGTACAAAACCACTATGTTTGTGTTGCTTTGCTGTCGTCGTCGTCGCCGTTTGAAGTCCGGTCCCGGGGATGTTGACGATCAAAATTTTAGGAAATTTTTAAACTTTTAATCAAAATGTTACAAGGCTATGGTCCTATATTTCAAACACTTCTCGGTACTTTGCTGACATGGGGACTGACAGCTGCAGGAGCAGCTATGGTAGCTGTGATACCAGGAACGCAGGTAAATATTATAGGTTATGTATCCCATGTCAGTTTTCCTATCTCTCAACAACTTTTATAACTCCCATGATTTCTTGGCCCAAGTATTTTGTCCGTGAACCATATGTTTTTCCGATATTTTCATGTCAAATTCATTGACAAAATTCACTGCTCTTTTACAAGAGAAAAACTTACCAGATGTTAAAATTTTGAATGTTTACATTTCTATTTGATTGATTTTTCAATAGCTCCTCATGAAACCAGACAATCCGTACTGTTTTATAAATTGTCATGACTTTTGTTAGATCTTGTAAAATAACAATGTGATTGTTTTGAGTCAAAACTCTTGACTGAGAAACAAGAATAATAATAAAAACAGTACGTTTTCATTTCAGTGAGGTACTTTTTAATCTTTATTACCAGTCATTGCCAGTCTACTAAATGATGTGCAAGCCAACCGTAACTTTAATTGATAAAGCACCTTCCATCCTGAAAAAAATTGTGGGTCTTGGATTCTTGTTTAGTGATTGCGTCAACTTCTCTATTATATCTACTAAATTTGTGCATTCCTAGTCTCAGTATTGAAAGATTTACATACATTGGACCTCTTTTTGTCCAGAAAAATGTGCTTGATTCAAGTCTTGGTTTTGCTGCTGGCGTTATGATTGCTGCGTCATATTGGTCGTTGCTGGCTCCTGCAGTAGAACTAGCTGAAGAATCTAAACAGTATGGAGAAAACGGAGAGTATGCATGGTGTCCAGTTGCTATCGGATTCATACTTGGAGCATTGTTTGTTCTGGGTGCCGATGTCTTAATTTCTTCCCTCGGTGTGAGCAATCCTCAAATGATTTTAGGTAGGTTCATATAAATTTATTTTAAATTGGACTTCCATGTATACTTTACACATATTTACTGTGTTCTGTAGCCTTACAGGGGACTGGACGTGCTGGCAAAGAAAAGGATGAAACACATCCTCACTATTATCAGGACCAACATATCTCGGAAAATGCTACAACTATAGATGGTAAGTTGTGTTACACATGCAGTACAATACTATTTATTCTTCAAAACATTTTTTTCTTTTTCCTTTTTTTTTTTGGGGGGGGGGGGGGTAAATGTTTTGGAGAACATTGATTGAAATACTGTTCCTTTCAGTGTACACTGACAGTGCACCATCTAGACGAAGAGTTAAAGGTGGAGGAGACTCAAATTTAAGTGGAAGCCTAAGGTCCCATCAAGGATCTCATGAACAGACTTTGTCAAGCAGCCAACAGTACCAACAATGGAGACGCATGCTTTTGCTTATAATGGCAATCACTATTCACAATATTCCAGAAGGACTGGCTGTTGGTGTCGCTTTTGGAGCGGTTGGCAGCTCACCATCAGCATCATTTCAAAAAGCCAGGTAAACACTGTATACCTTCTATACTGAGCTAGTGCCACATGTAGGAAAGTTAGGTAGAGTGATCTTTGCCCAAGAAATGGAATGCACCTGATAAAGAAGGGTTCAAGACTTATCTATAACGCTCATCTTATCCGCTGCGACTGCCTCCACTGTGGACACAGACAAGCCACGTGCGCATGGTGTGCCGAGGAAGCTTTTGAGCACGTGCCTTGTAGGAGGAGAGTCAGCAACAAAACTGCCAGTTTTAATAATAATTCTATGTGATCTTGTCCGAATGTGGGGAGAGGTGGCTCTGTAGAGGGCGCCTGTAGAGCGCAGGGTAGGCCACCCAACTGGCCGCCGTGCGGCGCGGTACAGCTCGCCCGTGTGGGTGCGGCCCGTCCGGTGCCCCCCGCCTCGCCGCCCTGCTCTCCTCACCCCCTCACCGAGTCGGGGCCGCACGCCCATCCTGCCCCTCCCCTCCCCCGCCCCACACACATCCTCCTCCCTACCCCCGCCTCCTGCGCTCAAATCAGAACAGAGCGCTAAGCTTAGACTCGACTCGGACGGACTGGCTGTGTTCGGGAGGGGCACCCAGGAGACTTTGTCTCTTGAGAGAGAGGCCCGATTCAAATACGCAGCGCCCCAGCAGCGCCGCCAGACAGCAGCGCCTCCAACGTCACAAGTAATTCAGTCGCCGTCTGGCCGGCCGCGCCCTCGAAATGTAAAGTTTTGTACGAGGGCGGCAGGCCGACGCGACGGCAGGCGGAAGCGGCCGCGGCCTACCTCCTACCTGAGGCCAGGGCCGAGTGTTAATTCACCTTGGCCCGGAGCGTCCTCGGCACGGCACGTTGGACGGGACGGTCGCCCCCGGGCACTCCTCCTCGCGGCCGCGATCTGGTTACGTCCCAAATACGAGCGTGTCCCGTCCAGCCCCACCGAGTGCAAGGACGGGGCGTGGGCGTGTCAGACGTGCTGTAGGGACGCTTCCGTGCCCAGCCCGCCCGCCCCTTCCCCCGGCCATTGGCAGGCCGAGTCCCCTCCTCACACACTCGACTCGAAGCCTGCGGAATGTTGCGCTTGTCGCGACTTCATTCCTTGAATCTTGAATAGATTGGCAGCCTTGACGCAGCAGGGCCCCGCGAGGCCGGCCGGTCGGCCCGCTTGCCTACTCGTACCAACCTAACCTTCCTGCGGGCAATAAAAAGGCTGCTTCCTGTTGAACGGCGTGGGGCTTATCTTTAGGCACAGCGGGCAGGGCGCCGGGGGAGAGGGGAGGGGGGGGGGGGGCTTGCAGCCCTGCACATCCGCCTGTGCCGGCCGCTCGCTGGAAGTAGAGTAGGAGTGGTGCCCTCCACCACGGGGCTTTGCTTTCACCGTCTGGCCCATGGCATTCCCGTCCCTCTCCGGCCCGACGGACAGGGCAGGGACCCATGGCAGGGACACGGGGCAGAGACCCAGTACAGGGAACCAGTGCAGGGGCCCAGGGCAAGGGGCAGGGACCTAGGGCAAGCCCCCCGCACCGCGCCGCACCCCCGCGATGTGCCGGCCACGCCACTCGCGTCGTGTGTGGCCCCGATGTCCTCCGGCCGCAGCATCGCCATGAGCGCCGCCACGCCGACGGCCAAGGCATTGTCTTCCCCACCGATGTCGTCTCGCCTCCGCCTCGCAAGGCTGGTTTGACTGTGGACGCGAAATAGCGACGCCAATTTGACGCATCGCACAGCACAGTGGCAGCAGAGTCGGCGACGTGACGTCGGCGGGGCCGTCGTCGTGGCGCTGCGCGGCGCTGTGTGGCCTGCGCCATGGAGCCATAGCCGTGACTCGCCGTGACCACTGCTACGTCAGCTCCGCTCAGCTCGGGCCGCCGCGCGCCCGCCGCTCCGTCCTCTGGAATGTCTGGGCTTCGCTGCTTGGCTTCGCTGCTTGGCTTCGCCTGCTGCTTCGCCTCTCCTCATGGCTTCACTTGGCCAGCTGGCCTGGCTCGGCGTCCATAGTCCAGGCAGCCAAAGCTAGCCCGCGGTGGGAGTGGAGGCCGTGGAGGCGAGTGGAGTGGGCCGGCGCGGGTGGGGCGGGGCGGGCGGGGGCCTCTCAGGACCGAGCGTAGTCGCTGCCCGCTGTATAGTTCCAAGTCCAAGCCGCTTCCGCGGGAAGATGGTGGTTTGGTTTGGGCCGGGCCGCGGCTGCCTCCGAACACGAGAGTCGCGCGCTCGTCTCGCGAAACTCGTGCAAGCCGGGAATCGGGACAGCGAGCGCCGCGCCGCCAACGGCCAAGGCCGGATATGGCTGTAAAAGGTTTTTCACGCGACGGTCAGTCGTGCGTGCGTCCGCGACTCGTCCCCGCCGCCCTTCGATGTGTGGAGGAGAGAGAAGCTGCCCAAATCGGGAGACGGGGAGACGAGGGGGAAGATTTAAATAGCGACCTGACCGCGGTATTGAAACACGCTCTCAGCGCATCGGAATGCAGCCGCTCGGTGCTGCGCTGGCTGCGCTGCGCTGCCCCGGCGGGGCGCGGCGGGCGCGGCCACACTGCCAGGAGAGCTGCGCCGAGCTGCGCGGGGCGGCGCGGAGCGGCGGGGAAGTCCTTTGGAGAGGCGGCAGCGCGCGCGGCGGCGGTGGCGGCGGCGCCAGGACAGAACACGCCGGCCCGGCCTGCAAGAAAATCACGGGAATAATTTCCTCGCGGGAGGTGCAGATGAAGATGACGCTCCAGGCACTC